TTTCCCATGCAACTAAAGAACAAACAAGACTCCTAAACTTGTTTGGCCTTTGACCAGAGGTCCCATCCCAATGCAACAATGGTCTTTAAAGTCCTTATGTCCTTGAGCTTATGGCATAGTTGGCATATTGAAGAGAGAGAGGAAAGCACTTCTTTCAAGAAAATTACCATATAAGGAAATTTTCAAGAAATCAGTGATGAACAGGTGAGAGTTTTTTTTTTAAATATGTTTTCATGTTAATTTGTTTAATAATGTTTGAAACAAAATATATATTTAATTATGAATTTCATTTTCTTTTAATTTTTTTTTATATTTCTTTGATTATTTCCTTTTATTCTTCTTTATTCTGTTTCTATTTTTTTTATTTCATAGGAATATCTTATTTACTATAAGTTTAAATTAACACAATTCTCATTTTGCTTTTTTTTTTTATATAGTAAAACAGCATTAAATACAAATATTTTATTGATACAATTGTCAATTATCATATATTAAACATTCTCTATTGCTAATACAATAGCCAAATACTAGCTTATCTATTTTATACCTGGCAATATACTGTTTATCCTTTAAGTATATCATATTGTTTTGAAGGGAACTATCTAAGGGGGTATCACTAGTTTTAAATTATCTTATCTACTAGTTCAACTATAAGTGAAAACAATAAACTTGCTAACTATTTTAAGTAAGTTACTTATCATATTATATTTTTTCACTTACACAACTATGGTTTTAGAGAGTGTCTTTCTTGGACTTGCCTTAGGACTGTTATGAGAATAACTATACATTAGTATCGATACAATGCTTTTCTTCAAAGCTTCTTACTTTTGATCACTGGCAGAAGGGAATTTGTAGCTTGGAATTGATTAAAATGAAGTATAGCTCAGTCTATATTTTCAAATATATGGGTGAATTTTGACTACACTGACAATTATTGTGCCACTATCCTGATGATAATCATATCACTATACCTTATCTGAAAGGTTACAATTTCAATATCTACTGAATCAATATATAAAATAACTTCATATAAGAAACAGTGCTTAACAAGTTATGGCACCAAATATTATATGAGTACTATTTAATTATCTTTACTTGAGATTAAACCAGTATCTTGTAATCTGATCTGTGATATACTAATCACTGTACTATAGACCCATAGGTTTACAAATTTCATTTTGCTTTTCCAAGACAATAACAATACTATATATATAATATAAATTATTTCTATAACCTATGGATTTATAGTATAATAATAATATTCTATAAATTATCAAAAAAAGATTTAGAGTTCAAACTATCTGATTATAAAAATTTATTACTTTTATGATTAATTGACTAGTTTTTAATACATGTTATATTCAATTATCTAAAAATTATCTATTAAATTAAGCTAGGTTATATAAAGATAAAACTTTTAGTTTTTTATATTATGAATCTTTATTATATATAATAATACTATTTTCAATTAAATATGATTTTGAATTAATTTTTTATGTTTTTAATAGTAATATAGTTTTTGAAAAATGTCCAATTCAATTTTATCACATATAACATGGGTTCCTAAATTATTTAGTAAATAAAATTTCACAGATTAATTATGTCTCTTTTAAAAGAACATAATTATTTATTCATTACTTTAATAGGAACATAATTTAAAAAACATATGAATCAAGTAATCTAAATTGTAAAAAATCTTTATAGATGGTTTTTTTTGATCATATATTTAAAAAAAAAACTTTTTTAATAGTAAGAAACATTTGAATTATGTCTTCACCTTTAATTTAGAGACCTATCTTTAATTACATATATACTTTATATTATTAATCTTTTTATTCAAATTAGTTAATTTTGGTTAGGTTATACTTAATTAGCTAGTATTTTAAATTAGATTAGCAAACTTTTAAATTTAATTAAATTTTTATTACTCTACTTGATATTGATGCAATTTGAATTAATAATTTATTTATAAGAATAAGTTAAATTATAAATCAGTATTTATAAATAAAAAGTATAATATAAATAAGAATATAGATTTATTTACAAGATATAAATTAGTATTTTGATAAATCAAAGCAAATAGTATTAGTTAAAAATTAACAATAATTAATAAACTGTTTATATAATTGAATATACTTAATTTTTATTTTATTTTATTTATTATTATTATTTTTTTTTTCTCTAATCAAACTGCAATTGCTGTGTTTATTAATCATTAAATATAAATAAAACAATAATACATGGAACCCTAAGGTTTTATATTAGAGCTAAACTATGCCTATTGCAGAACACCCATTAACAAGTTATTTTTAGATTTGTACGTGATCCTTGAATCCTTAATATCAAGACTATTGTATTGCCCACATTATTTAACTATTTACTAACTATTTCACTACAAGGAAGTTGGTTCATTAAGCTATTATTGCATAATATTAACTATCTTAGACTTTTCAAATCTTAACTCTTTAAGTGTGATCATGGGGAATGATAAAGTTACTCCTTGGCCTTGAAAAAAATCATTGCCAGTCTACATTCAGGCTGTCACCCCTGCATGAACCTGTGGTCCTAAGAGGTAAAAAAATTTTTTATTTTTTAAGAAAAAAAAAGGAAGAGTGAAAAGGGTAGATGAAGAGTTTGTTCTGGTAAATAAAAAACCCTCCAATATCAATTTCAGTCCATCAGGATAAATCCTTTACTACCATCTGCAACCGGGTAAACCATTTAATTTTTATTATTCTCTTGCTAACCAAGAATGTTCAAGATACTTATTACAAGACTGACATACTGCTTGAAACCAGTTACACCTCTTGAAGGAATTATTGCTTAAGACAAGACTTACACTAATGCTTATTGCCTTCTCAGAATAATTAACAACAGAAGAAGCTTCTTACTGAATTGGAATGTGACTTTTTTTAATCTTGAAGAAAAAAGAAACCAGTTCAAGAGGGGAGAGAGATCACTATAACACTTCTTGACAAAAAAGGATGCCTTGTCACCTTGCTTCTTTCATTGTATCCAATTGCATTATCGGGTTTTATATTGTATGAGATAGGGCACGTGGGAGCTACATGTCTTGTTTATATTTCTTGCTATGTGTAGATCAACCAGTCCAAAATTTGAGCCAATTACCATTCAAGGATTCCGGTGTAACCAAAAATTCAGGATCAAACTGAGGTAGGCAAAATTCTTCAGAAAAATCAGAAAAAAGTTTACACATTTGAAAAGATTGGAGGAAGCTTGAGGAAGATAAGAAAAGAGTTTCAAAAACTGTGCCAGTCTTTTCTAGAGTCTTGAATCTCTAAAAGAAGAGAGAAGGATATTTTTTCTACAGGTTCTTTTTCCTAGCAAAGTTTTCTTGCCTTTAACTTTATAGGTAGATATTTCTTGTATTTACTCGCAGAAATACAGGAAGTTTATGTCAAAGAGAAAAAAAAACAAGTGGGGGAGACTATTGTCTCTTGATATAAGTGTTATTAATGAAAGTGTATAGACTTTATTACAGGAAAATATAAAATTTCCTTGGAACATTTGTTTTTTGTGTTGGCAAAAGGATCAGCAAAAAGATTTCAATTATTTTTAATAAATTTTTTATTAATATTTATGTAATAGTTTTGAATAATAGATAAATAAATAATTTAAAAAATTTTGTAACACACTGTATTATCTAAAATCTTAAAAAATCCATATTTTTTAATAAAATTTATATCATTTTATTCTTAAGTTTTAAATATATTTTGAATAAAATTTTATAAAAATTTAAGGATTTTTTTATTTAATTATAAGATAAAATACAAAATTAAAAAAATTACAAAAAATTATGACTTATATTGATATTTAAAATATATTTGCAATATAAGTTATAATATATAAAAAATCAAAAAATACTTATTAATTTTAGTTTAAAAAAAAACAAAAACAAATGTTTTTAAATACCATAACAGTATAATATTAATGTTATAATTTCAAATAACACTTTTTTTAAAATATTGTAGTTTTTATAAAATATAATTATTGAATTTTATATTAAATATTAATAAAAAAAATTATTTTTTCAATGTGAAAGTTAATTTAAAGAATTAACATAACATTACAAAAGAACTTATATATATAATAAATTAACGAGCTTTAAGTTGGGTCTTTGTTTAAAGCCCTTGACGAATATAATAGAGGCTCTACTTTGATAATTACAGTTAACCATACTACGATTTATAATCCAGTTTGAGTTGACTGAAATTTATCATTTCATGTGCGCTTTGTGTATTTCAACAATACAGTGTATTACATAATCTCTCTTCCGTAATCACAATAAGACTCATTGTACTTCTCGTCTTTTTACCCGCGACGAATACAAATAATACCCGTAAGCCATAATAGAAAGGTCACGTGACATGACTGTATCTCTTTATTGGTTCAACAAGTGTTCATTCAAACTGTTTAAATCAAACACTCGTGTATTCACGTGTGATCGATTTTGTTGGATATTTGGTGTGCGGAAGGAAGTGGTAATGTGGATGAACTGAGGTGAAGTTTAGGAGAGATCTTGTAGAAAAAGCCTTTTCAATAAAGAAAAAACCGTCCATGTTTTTAATGTATTCATTACGTTGAAACGTAAGTTGGGAAATTGTTCTCAATGAAAGTAGAAAATGCATTTTGACGGACCGGATGAATTCCGGCATGCAAGGCGTCAAAAAAAAAAGATCTAACAGTATAATATAATACACACATCCTTTACTTTCCACATGTCGCAGGAAATCTGAATTTACAATTTTCAGCTTTCACATTTTTTTTTATGTAGGCGTCTTTGTTTCACGTGATATGTTAGAAAGGCACGTGAAGATCAAGTAACACAACAATACAGTACTCTAATTTCTTATTTTCAAACACAACGAACATAACGAACGTAACAAACTAGAAACTCTTAATTTAAGATCGCGGTGTACACTTCTCAAAAATTTTGGACTGACCAAGGGGCTTCTCATTTCGGATTTGAAAGTTACATTATGCATAATAATTTAAAACGTGGTGGAAGATTTAAAACCCAATTTCAAGATCGAAGTGGCAGAGGAAGAGGTGTCTAACGTTGATAGAAACTTTCAGAAGAACTTTAATGTCCGTTGGTAATTTATTGTTTTGCTACTTTCAGGGAGGTCACCAAATAGGAACGATGATAACTCGTCCAGCCCAGGTCAGTTGAACCTTTTTGCTTCACATGGTGTTGCAATGAACAGGACACCAAGTCCTCAAGGAGAGAGGAACAAGGAAAGAGGTAAGAATTATCCTTTTGTTCAAACAGTCACGATTGATGTTGATGCTTTCCGGAGATACGTCGTTGTTCGAAACAAATCCTGCAATATTTTCAAGGTATATCGCAAGAGGAAATAGATAAACGTAACGCACGTGCCGAACGATTTGGGATACAACTGAATCCATCACAGGTATTTTTACGTTCGTTTGAGTGACATTGGAATTTGTTTGTTTAGATTAACTGATGCATTATTTATATTGATTACAAGCGGCGAAATGCGGGTGGTAAAGTGATTCTTGATTATAAAAAAGCTGAAGTCAAAGAACCACCTCCGGATCCTATTGTTGACTTTCTCAAAGTAGTTGAAGACTATGTTAAAACACAGACACTGATTAGAAAAATCAAAGAGAATCGGCAAACTAATAACAATAGGGCAGTAGCGTGGGACTTCTTTCATGAGGAGCTGTGCCCTATTACTCTTGAATCATTGTACCGAAATGACAAAGGCAGCCAGCAAGTAGATCCGAGTGATGAGGAGGATTACATCACAGAAGGAAATCGACAAAAGGAGGGATTAAAAGGGGACGAGGTACCATCTACACCACGGTTCTTTGATGTAGAAATGGAAGATGTTCATCAATTTTTAACATCACCGCTTCCGTCATCACCCGGATTCCGTATTTTTGAATCAATGGATGTGGATGAAGCTTTTCCATCTTCTCCGTCTTTGACTCCACAGGCAATCATACTATTAAGTTCGTTGATGCATTTCTTCGTTGTTATTTGGTGCTGGTCATTGATCGATTGTCTCCCTTCTCTCTACCTAGGTTCAATACCCGTTTGAACCACGCACACCTCCACTAATTAATCAACCTTTGTTAGATAGAAATCGTAAACCATCGATTTTCATGCGGTTAGGTCGAAGAGAATCGATTACACATACTCCTCCCGTTCCATTTGAAAGTAATATGTTTGATAATAAGGGTAATGTTAATTTCACAGGTAAAATTTTAATAGAACTGACAAATATTTTTTTTTAATCTAGGTTTTGTTTGCTTACATGATTCAGATTTTTTTTATTATCATCTTTATTATTATCATCATCGAATGTTGACATAATTAACATAAATAGTTACCCAGAAAGATCGTACTTTTTCAAGTATGAGTGTGGAGAATGGTTCCTTTTTTGAGGAAAATGTCGAAGATGAATTGTCAGAACTCGAGGGGTCCATAGTTACAAAACAGAAAACAGGATTACCTGAAACAAATCTTAAAGAAACCGAAGAAATTGCAGATTATGAACAAGATGAAAAAGAAGAGGAAGAGCCTCAAGCTAGTGATAATGAAGATAACTTGCTAACACTGACGTAAGTGGATATGATTTTTGATACAAAAAAGGTATCATGGTTAATTAAAATGGTGAAATGATCAATCAATCAAATTACACATTCAGAATACCGAATCCAAAGTTAGACCTATTTAAATGGGTGTTTGGTCCTCCACCTTTGACCCGTGCACAATCAGGATACCAGGAAAAGATTCAGAAAAGGAAAGATAAATTCAAAAAACCTCGATTCCCTGATCGTAGAAAGGACGAAAAAGATCGGAAAAAACGTGAATACCAAGTTCGAATTTCCGAAAACCGAAACATCAAAGAGGTTCTGGATGATATCGATCGTAATGAGGCCTTGTGCGTCCGAGAACATAATTCGGCTGAAGTAAATTATGACAAGAATTTACATAATCATCACAAAACAAACAAGCTTCAAGATGATTACGCAATCGTCAAGGAAGAATTGATACGACGGTCCCGTATTCTCGATCGTCTTAATAAAGAGTCTCTTGACCGAGCAAAGAAAGATTCCAAATACAAGCATAATTTTTCCAAGGTTATAAAGGATGCTGAAAAAGAAATCTACAACACTCCCTCTTTGATCCCTGGGTCATGAGAGATAGCTTCTTTCGTTGACTTTATTAAAAAAGAATGCATTCCGATAGACTCAAATTTCCCCTTTTTTGAAATAAAAAAAAAACATTCAACTTATAATATAGAATATAATGTACTTATAATTTGTGTATAATCATTTTTTAAATTATAAACACGAAAACAATTCCTAGTTTAGGAAATATCTCCCAATTTATGGATAAGATTTTATTACATTTTGAAATTTGGTGGCGCATTAGTGAGTGTATAAGCCATATAATAGAAAGCCTCTCAATATTTCGATTTTTTTTATAAATTAAAAACCAAGTAATAATAAATTTGTTTTATTTACACTTATTTTTATGGTGAATAAAAAAAGTTTTTGTTATTAATTTTTTTTTATAAACTCACTTATTAATCGATCTAATGAATATTATTTAATCATTGAAAGTATTTTTAAAAATTAATTAGTTTATTATTTTACTAAACATTAAAAACATTAAAAAAAATTTTTTTTTTATTAAAATAATTGAGCAAAAATTAAATATTAAAAAACAACAAAAAAAAAAATCAAGCAATTTTACAATAAAATAAAATATAACATATTTCTTAATTTATTCGATATGTTATTAACCTTAATAAATTTTTTTATATTGTATATGCATCGAAATTGCAGGTTAAAACAATTAAACATACATTTTTAAATGATATAAAAAATTGGTAACAAATGTTAAGGTTATTATAAATTCCAATTGATTTTTTTTAAAGTATTTCAATAATTAGTAATCCATAAAATTATTAAAAAAATAAAGGATCCAATTACACTGTGATAATAATAATAATAAATTAAAGGATCCAATTACACTGTGATAATAATAATAATAATAACAATAATATATTTTATTATATCTTTTATTTTTATTTCAGTTGTGTATTTTATTTTTATTTAAGAATCCTGAAGATATTCGAAAATTTCAAAATCACAAAATTTAAATCCAAAATAATAATATTATTAATAATATTATCATTATTATCATTTTATTTTTTTACTTGACATTAACATTTTTTAATAATAAGAATCTTATTTTTGATTTACTATTTATATTAGTTTTTCTGATTTTTTAAATTATAAAAAAAAATTTTTTATATAGGTAAACATTATTTCTTTATTTGATTTGTATATTAAAAGTATATATTGTAAAAGAAACAACATCTTTCATTTGTAAATACAGTGAGTTTAATGCTAGCTTGCCTATAGAAACCAAATGACTAATATTGAAAATAAAATTTTAAAACAATATATTTTGTCAGTTGGTACTGAGTGACTATGCTTACCTACTTGATATTGGAAAAAATAAAAATAAAATAGTTTTGGATTAGTTTAGTAATATATTTGAAAAAGTTGAAATTGTTTTGAATATAGATGTCTGTGACTAAAATAGATAGGTCGACTATTGTTATTGATTCTTATATGGATGGAGATTTTTATAGATTAGATTTGAAAGTTATTTAATTGTCTTTAATTATGTTGTTAGGAGATTTGTCTTTTCATTTTATACTATTTTGTGGAGAGGTGTTGGCCATAGCATATCGTAGTTTCTATATGATGTTATATAATTGTGTTAGGGCTTCAGTCGATGCTTATACCCAATTATTAAAGTCTAATGGGGAGAAGATACTATCAGTAATGCCACATGCTAGCTTTATGACCTGCCATATGTGGGTTATCAGTTCTAAGTCACTATTAGATTAAAAGATAAGGTTGATTTGCTTGATAATTTGATTAGTTTTTTTTGAAACTATTGGATATTTAAATATATGTTATATGTTTTTGATACAGAGTTTACATCATGGACAGTAAGGGTCTGGATATTAATCTGGTATTGTTGGTATAGATTTTCTCATGTGAGAAGAGTTCTTGACAAGAGCTTGATACAAAAGGTGATTAGGTCATTATATTTGTTATTTCATGCATTCTTCAGATTTTTGTTAAATTTATTGATGATTTTGATGTCTTGAGAACTGTGAAAAGAGTCAAATATTTTTGGTATTAATGAGCTTTCCACTATTATATATGTTTTAATAATGCTGAAGATCTTTTTGCACCACTTGACACTACTCCCCAGCTGAAAGTTGTTAATTGAAGGATTTTTTGAGAAATATAATATTGGATTGTTCCAGTTTATAGTATAGTTAGCCCTTGGGTTTGATTTGGAGCTGGAATAGATAAGAAGTATTATCTTCTTGAGTATTATCTTGTTAATTTTCTGAATAATTGAGGAAAATTGACTTTTGTCATTTTTTTAGGATAGTTGAAGGTCTCTTGGAGTATCCTTTTATTGTTTCTTATTTTGATTTCACAGTTGAAAGGATATCAGTAAAGAAGATCGAAGAGAACTTGCAGCAGATTGCCAGATGAAAGGCCGGAATTGTTTAATTTGATTTTGAAGTTATTTACAAAAATGTATCCTTGATAGCTTTGAATATAGTATGACTGAGGAAAACTAATTTCCTGAAGTGTTGAAATATAAGAAGAGTTGGAAAAAATATCTACTGATTGAAGAATATGTTTGTTTTCTTGGAAAGTTCTTGAGATCTCTTCAATTATATTGCTTAGGTGATACTGGTTAGGATTTGAAGAGTTGGAAAGGATCCATAGAGAGAATGCTCTGAGCTTGTAAAGTTCAATGTGTATGAGCCAGCATTTGGAATGCCAGCTGGATAGCTATCGCATTTGGTGAAAATATTGTTATTGTCTATGTTGAAGTGTTTTCTCTTGAGATGAAAGTTTTCTTGAATATGATAATGTCTCTTATATATTTTAACAATAGTGTTAGTATTGTGGATGAGTTAGAAGAATGCTTTGTGATTGGATATTGGTCCATAAGATTCCAATAAACTGCTGTGGTTGATAAAGTTTTTGAACTAACAGGATTCTGGTCCATACCGAATGATTCCTGTATGAGCTATTAGTTGGAATCATGAGAGTTTAATCATGCTATTGAACTTCATAAGTTGATTTTTGAACTGGATATTGAGAGCATTAGCAATATTGATTGCACTAGTTCTGGTGCTTGGTTAGAGTTTGGCTAGTAAAAGGCTTGAAATTATAAAATTAAAGAATAAATTTTGAGATTATAATAAATAAATAAATTTTGGAATAATAATGCAAGAATTATATTTTAGAGATTGTCAAATGAAAGTTAAGAAATATAATCAGAAATAATTTTCTAAAAAATATATTAAATAATATAATTTTATTAAAATAATAATGCAATAAATCCCAGATACAAAGTGTTTTAAAATTCTTTGGAAAAAATATTTATTTTTTATTTAATAACTACCAATTCAATCATGATAATTGATACTTTATTTAAAAAATAAGAATCAATATTTTTTTATGAAAAAAAATCAATAGTATATATGATTGCCATTATATTGAATTATTAACTTATATCTCTTTTTTATAGTTTGACAGATTTTTTTAAGATAATATTTGAAATTGTATTTTATTCTTTTATCAAAAATAATTTTAACTTCTTCAAATTTTGCAATATTTTTTTTTTATATTTTTTTTCATAATACCTTATAAGTTTTCAATTAGATTTAGATTTAAGCTATTAACTGATTATTCAAGAACTTTGAAAATATATGATTTGAAATAAAACTTCATAAGGTGGCTTATATATTTTGGGTTATTATTTTGTTAAAGCCACTATTTTTTCCCTATCAATATTTTGATTCTCATATTTTTTTTAGTATATTGATATAAAATTCCACTATTATTGTCTTTCTAAAACAAAATAATTTAACCTTATCTGTCTTAGAAAATTCTTTACACAAAAATTTATCTTTTATTGGAAATTCACAAAATTGATCTTTTATGTTTATATTATTGCTTTAAAATATTATAAAAAAGCTGAAATATGATTTTGTCAGTAAAAAAGATTTTACTCCAGTTATTATTCTAATGTTTTTTGATTCACTTCAATTATTTTTTCTTTTGTACTCTACTAAGTATTGGCACTAATCTAAAAAAAACATTTTTGTAACTGAGAAATTTCAAATGCTACAAAAAAGTAGCTAAAGAAACTATCTTATCTAATTTTGGTATTATATTTTATAAAGATATGAAAGAATTTTTTTCTAAATATCACCTTATTTTTTTGTAATAATTCTTTTGTAATTACTTTCAGACAACAAGCTTCTTTTGACTGTTTAATGTTTTTGACTTTCTTTAACTTCTGAAAATTATAATAAATAATTGAAAGGAAAATCTTAATTGCTGTGTGTATTTTTTTTGTGGAATGCTTACCTTGCTTCTAGAAAGACAATATTATTTGCTGCTAATCTTAAAGAGTATTGATAATCATTTTAACTTCACCCTATATCACATGAGAAGAGCTGAAAGACTGAGAATCCTATGAGAAGTTTGTCAAAGTTTATTTTTTTCACTTGTACAATTTGGTGTTACATTTCTGTCTAACTTTAGTTAGTAATACATAACAGATCAACTGCAGTAATTTTCCAAATAATTTTGAAACACCCTGTATGTCATGAATTTCTGGTTAATATAAAATATTGTAATATTTGATGAAAAATATGAATTCAGATAAAACCTTAAAGAGATGCAATAACTATGGTGGTGATAAAGATTATATCAAACCTAAAAAATTGACATTACTGTATTAGAAATGTGCAAATGGTTCGATTAACGTGACCAGGTAAATGAGGTGCGCATCACGGTTTCATAAGGGGATGAATACTTAATATATTGAATTTTGTAATCGTGCATTGGTTGCTGCGATACAAAAGTTTCATTTCATTTTCGTAATCGAGTAACGTTTAACATATGTATTTAACAAACCGACTCTTGTAGTAACAAATATGCACTTCAAATCTGTCATTACATTCATTCTAATCTTTGAATCTAAAATTTCACGAACTATCTTCTGATTTACTTGTATTGACCATTGATTTCGCAATTTAAAGTTTCATCCCCAAAGTATTTATTAATAAGTAGCTTATCCAACCACTGTATTATGAATTTCATTTAATTTTATACATTTAATTTTAATATTGTCAAACTCAATTGCAATTCTTTTCTCCGTGCTCGTTTCACCGAATCCATGACTTGAAACTCTTGTTCGATGTCTTCATGTCGCGGAAGAATTGTGCTGACCTTATTAGAACGATCCTTTTATCGTAATATCGAAGCTTATTCTTTTCAGATGACGCAAGAATTTCGAGAAAGAATATTGAAGGCATACCAATGTATTACGAGATATAAAAGATTGGGAAATGGAATTAGTCACATCGCACATGCCTATTACTTTGGGACTATGTTTACATACGCTGACCCAACAGAGAGATACTAACAAATGAAGCTATTGATACCATACTATACAAGAGCCATGTTACGAACGTATTACTTGTTTGAGATCTTTGGATCGAGCAAATCTATGTTACGATCCCAATGATGCTAACCACTATAGAAGAATTCCGTTGATTTGTAGAACTCTCTTATATTCTTTGTCAACATCTGTAATCTGTCTTTTATTTGATAGAATTCGCGTTGTTTATATACTGTTGGCATTAATTCGGCGAGTCTGTCGCTAGCTCCGGACCAGACTCGCAAACGTCAAGGCAAGTTATTCTACTTTCTCTTGGAGGCGTGGATTTTGACTTGGTCGAACTTTAACTATTTCTAACACTGTTCCCTTTCTTCCCTTGTGCCGTCTTCCCTATATAATTCGAGTCCCAATTTCTTTAGTGATCCCCTGAACGATCTTCTCGCGGCGACGCTACACTTGCACAGGTAGTAATTAGCAACTTCGGCGTCGATCACACTACCGCTTATGGAAATCTTTAATTAACGGCGGATTTTTATTGCACTAAAAAAATAAACTAAGCTTTTTATGGCTACATGTGACTAATTTCTAGGCTTTCGGCGCTACGCGAAAATCGAGTTACGTGGCCTAACCCGCGAATATTTCCCGCCAACAATAGACATTTTCAAATATAATCGATAGAAAGAATAGAATAAAAAGGCCAAATAGAATTTAAAGATTACACAACCTCAATAAACAAATCGACATAATGGACTAATATAATCGTTTCCTTTCAATATTTGTAAACATTGTCATCAAATGTCAAATTATTTTATTTCCACTCATGAATTTTGATATTCTGTTATGAACACTAATTATGAACTGTAACAACAATATGAGGTACGGTCTGCGGTCAACCCAAGAATTTTGCAAATTGAAATTGTTGTTCAATGCCATTTTTTGATTCAAGAAAGGTTGGTCGATTGATTCACTAAGCATTGATTTTCCAAGGTGATTATTCACTATTAAATCCAGTGTCGTTTGTGAGGACAACGTGTGTGGATCGGATGAAAACCGAGGAAGCTTATTAATGTACAGTATATTGAAGTATCCTCGCAGCGTATATGCCTTCTTGTTGATTAGGATTAAAATAATATCCTCCATATTCTTTTCTAACCATTTAATTATCCTATCCTTAATTTCATGTGAAAACCTGTTCACGAAAATATATCTAAGAGAAATTCAACTTTATACTTTTTGAATCCATACAATTCTGTCAAAATATTGAAACCCGAAGACATAATGATAGGAGTCACGTCAGTTTGGAAAACATAATCAATGCCATTGTCACTGGTAGATTTTAATCGAGTATAAAATTGGTAGAACAAGCTCTATTCTGTTTAAAAAATTGTTATGATGTGCTGTGTTTTTTAAATTATTTCTATTTATTATTTTTCACATTAAATTACAAGTTTTTAAAATAAAAGTGTGATGGGGAAAAATCAAGTGACTGACAACGTAACGCGGAGAATGTACTGATGAATTTGGGAATAAGCAAGGAAAATAGCTAAGAACGAAAATGACATGAGTTAATTAAATAGCATATATCGATTCTATAGCATATACAGTATCTATTTTGTAACACCGATCTAATGTATAGCATTTACAGTGATCGTCATAAATAACGAGAATTTAATGACACGTAACTGCTATATATAAATTTTCTGATCATGCGCTCCTAACAAAATCAGCTTTTAATGACGGGTTGTTTATACATGTAACTTAAAAACAAGCCACCAAAAAACCCATCCCTATTTAGTTTCCCACTTTTTTAAATCCTAAAATGGAAAAAATCTCTCTTGCTAACTGACAAAAGACCATAAGTGAGCTTTGGAACTGTAGTGTTTGCAATGCCCTGACTCTGGTGAAATTAAGTGATGTTCCACTTTCTACAGCATACAAGTATATTACCCAACTAAAAAAAAATCATGAATTTGGACCTATTTCACACCCTGGATGACTAACAATTTTAACTCCCCAAATCAACGTGTGCTAGGAAGAATTATTCAAAATGATCAATATCTTACCTGCAAAGAAATCATCACTAAACTTAGTAATAAGGTTAAAATATCAGCATGAACAGTAAATCGTAAGCTTAATAAGCTTGATTACCACTCAAGTCACCCCCAAACAATACCTTTACTTATCACGAAACAATACGAATAATGTTTAGAATGGGCAACTGCTCATGCAAGACAGAACAGAAAAAATATCGTATTTTCAGATGAAACTACCTTCCAGATATTTCATAATATTATGACAGTATTTTATAAGACCAGAACGGATGTTTCACAAAAGGGAGTTCCAAAACACCCAGCGAAAATTCATGCATGGGGTGCTTTCTCAGCATGTGGAATGATCGGCTTTCATATTTTTACTCAAAACATAAATGGGTTATTCTATCATGATATTTTAACTAATAATCTTTTTGAAAATGCATTTAGGATTATGCCGTTGCATTAGATCTTCCAACAGGATAACGACCCAAAACATATGGCAAAAGACATGACTGAACTTTTTCATCGTCAAGTCCCGAAGATCCTCGATGGCCCTCCTATAGCCCTGACATAAATCCAATAGAAAATATATGGGCTATTATCAAAAAAGGGTGGAGAAATGAGTAAGCAAAATAATTAGAAAAAAAAATTAGTGTTATACAATGGCATGAAATAATTCAAGAAGAATGAGAGGGTATTTCTGTAGACCTATGTTTTAATTTGGTAAACGGAATGTCAGGACGATTAAATGACATTATTGAAAATAATGGAAAAAAAATTGATCATTAGATGTACATAGATTTTTTAATAGATGTTACATAGACGTCACTGCAAAACCGCAACCCGAATAAATAAAACCCACTAAATTTATATAAAAAAAATGATTCTCATTATTTATGACGAGCACTGTACATATAGTGATTATATATTAGATAGCATTTATAATAATTATATATTAGATAGTGTTTATAGCGTTTTTATATTATTTAGTTTATTTAATTTTCTATTTATCTATAATTAAATGTTAGCAAAATAAAAGAGAGATTTTTAGTTGAAGATCTCCAGGTTGGAATAGAGAGCTATGTATTAAAGAAACAGTATTAGATAGTTTCCAAGTTTGTATGACACATTCATGACTAATGAGTTTATGTTAGTAATTTTGTTAGATTTTGTGGGAATTTTAAATCGCCTCTAAGCCGTACCTGAGTAAAAGTGGATTGCACCCCCCGGTACATAAGTAGATTCGTTTTTAAGAGCTTCAGTCATTCCAACATCACATGATCAATAAAAACATAGAACTAGAGAAAAAAACATTGGTTTGCTGTTTCTTTTTTGAAATTGATAATAACCAAGCAAGAGAAAATGCCCAGTGTTCACTCAATATTGCAGTACCGCATTCAGTAACTCGTTAAAATTCACCAAATTGCTTGCTTTCTTATCCACAACTTGATAATAATCATTAAACTCTTATTGATAGATGCACATACACAGTACTTTATCATTTATATGTTCAAACTTTAATGAAATTTCAAACGTTGAATTGGTATGAAGTCCTGAAAATTGAATCGTTCTTTACTTAATAATATTAGGTTTTCCAAAACGACGAAGGCGTAGTGAAATTATAGTGCAAACATCAGATATTCTATATTAAGAGATAAAACAAGTTTTGTCTAAGTAATATTCACCTTTTCTCAAATCGACAAATGATCCCGTTGAAACTATTTCGAAAAGTTTTAAAGATGCCGAAAATTTTTAAAATTAATATTTAACACTGTATAAACGTATTAACCAAAAAAATTACTTATTACAAAATTAATGTAAAACTAATTTCACATACTATATCTATTTATTTTTATCAATAAGCTTGTAATTTTACTGTATTTAAAAAAATTGTGCGAAAGAAAAAAAGATTGTCATTTTTTTTTTAAAAAATAGACGTGTTCCAATCTCTGCTGGTATGTACCCAATAATATTTTAATTGCAAGTTACAATTAATGTTATTTAAAACGTCTCTAATTCATTTAAAATTTTCTTTATTTAAATATTGTGATTAAGGTGATACAAGATTTCCAACGTACTACTGTAACGGTGGGAAACACCGAGTCTGTCGCTTGCACATAGGTCTGGTCGCTTCATGTCACACAGCAGCTAAGTGGGCTCACCTTGCACTATTTAATTATATGGTTCGTGTCGACAATAACATTATTTTCTTCTTATCTTGTGGCGAAAGAGGCGGTGGATTTGGTCGATCTTCGTCCGTCGGTCACGTGATCACAGCGAAACTTATCACACAGATAACTTATGTATAGGGCGAACACACTTGATCCCAAAATGAGCACACTTTTTTGCTGCTACCTTTATTTACTGAAAGCTAAGTATATTTGTACATGTTTTCTTTATCACAATAATACTTATTATCTTCTTTATCCTATCCAATATAGAATCGCGTGAAAATTTACCCCTTTTTTAATATAACACTACAGCATGCTGTATGTGCTACATGCCGTATAACAGTACTTAAAGTATTTAACATACGATATAACGCATTCGTAACTTTGAAAACTTTTTAAAATGTTATACGAAGCAAAAGGTATCAATACAATATACGATGAGAAATTCGATAATAACTTGCAACCGTCTCTTCGATACAATAACAATCAGTCACAAGATTTTCTCGATAAAATTGTCGAAGAGTTATGCAATATTTATATCGAAGAAACATCAAAAGGAAAAAAATTAGAATTGATCCTTGACATGTTCGAAAAATATTTTGTCAGAAAACAGCTAAAATCTGAAGATGTAATTAATCGGTTACTAACGAATAAAACAAATCTTATAGCTCAAGTCATTCTTGCAAGCTGCTATGTTCATGGCAAATGGATTGAAAAAGATGAAAACAGGGGATTCAAATATTATCAAAAATCAGCCGAGATGGGTCATGTATTGGGAATATATAATGTTGGCTATTGTTATCTTAATGGAATTGGGGTTGAGAAGGATCAACACAAGGCATTCGAATATTTTCAAAAATCAGCCGAGATGGGTAATTCTGGTGGTGTATTTCAAGTTGGCTGTTGTTATGTCAATGGAACTGGAGTTAAAAAAGATTTATATAAGGCACTCGAATATTATCAAAAATCAGCCGAGATGGGTCATGTAGTGGGAATATGTAATGTTGGCAATGGCTATCTCAATGGAATTGGAGTTGAAAAGAATCAACATAAGGCATTCAAATATTTTCTAAAATTTGCCGAGATGGATTATGTATCGGGAACATACAATGTTGGTTGTTGTTATCTCGATGGAATTGGGGTTAAAAAGGATCCACATAAGGCATTTGAATATCTTCAAAAATCTGCCGAGATGGATTATATATTGGGAATATATAATGTTGGCTATTGTTATCAAAATGGAATTGGAGTTGAAAAGGATGAACATAAGGCATTCGAATATTATCAAAAAT